TTAAAGGGTAAACAAATATTAAATTTAAATTAGGATTTATGTTTTTCTCTCTTCCTAAATGCTTAGATGGGGGGGGGGCAATCGCGGGTCAAAACGGTCTTCTTAGTTCATCATGCGGGCAAGCCCGTTCCAAGGTGCAATGGTTGTTGTATGACGATTTTTTGCGGTGACCGTACCTTTTGCCAAGATGCTCTGGGGGACCTTTTCCCTAGAAATCATTATAAAAATTACAGTATTCACTTAAATTTATACTTTTTATTTTAAATAACCCCCAAACGGTGAGCATGGTGTCAGGACGATCCTATATATGGGTGAACCAATTAAGTGTAAAATGTGGGCTTGAATTTCAAGGAATATGAAGCAAAAAAAAAAAAGCGAATCGATGATAAGTCAGATATTTTATAAATAGCTTAGGTTTTCATACATTTTTATTTTTATTACAAACTCTGTGTTTTGAAAACGGCTGTTAATTAACAAACACCATGTAGACAAATGTCAAGTTACCTGACTTTTATTTTCGGAACCCTTGGTCGAAGATATATACTTCTAGTTACGAAAATGTTTCAAATTAAGCAAGTAGTCATGTTTTGGTATTTCTTAATTTAAAGGCATCAGTTTTGTATACAATATAAAATCTAATTTTTTATACATTGCTGTAGTCCCCATACTTATATTTAGGAAAAAATTATACTCGTTATATATAGAAAATAAAATAGAAGCAGTCTAAACTCCCGTACGGCAAAAATTTTCCGAGGTATTTTATTTTAGAATTTTGAGATGTCGTTTTGGGTTTTCATTAAGAGGATGGTTAATAAATGAATTGGATAATTCGAGGTTATTTTTTCCTTTAAATGATACTCTTTTGGGATTTACTAATACCTTTATTTAAAGTTTTGTTATATTTGTTACATTTTATTACGAAATAATTTTCTCGCAAGCAATTTATAAGTCTCAAAATGGGTTATTAATTTTCTCATAAATTTTAAATACTTTAGAATCATAGTTTGATAATCATAAAAATTCCTTGAAATACAAATATTTTTCAATTTTAATTAATTAAATTAATATTACGAATTGGCTACGTACCTTTTCGTAATATTGTCCATAATATTGCTGAAGCCTCCCAGTGTTTTCTAGAACACGAATTCCGTAAGATTCTGTGAATAAGACCAACTTTTTGAAAACTAAAAATTATATTGATTAATATTTTTCTCAGTAATCAGCAGGGAAATGCTCGTTACATAATCTCTTACCATCAGAAGCATTTTTCTAAACGATATTTTATTTTTCGTTGAGTACAAATAACGAGTAACGAGTAAAAGTAGGGAGTACAAAAGTTTCCTAAATGTAAGTATAGGGGCTAGAGGTACCGGTAAAATATTAAACTTCGTAATTTTTCACAAACATTTATTTCTTTAAATTTAAAAATTCTAAAACCTGAAGCGTCATTTAAAACATTTTTGTAATTATAAGTATATGTCTACAACCAACAAAAATAAAGGGCAGGATAAAGAACCTTTGTAGACACTGTATGTACATAACGTGAGACACTGAAATCCCAAATGTTTGTTTACGATTTTTTTGTCCAAATAATGTTCTAAGTTACTTTCAGCAATTCTTAATACCCAATATAAATTTTTCTCAGTAACTTGTGGACTATATTTGTGTTTCATGCACTTCATGAAAAAGGTTTTCAAGGAAGTGTTTCTTGAAAAGTCTTTGATAAAATGTGTTTTGCATAAATATGTCGATCCAAATAAAACTAAATACTCTTTGGCATAACGCAGAAAATATTTAATTTATCTTCTTTTAGAGAAACTTGAAATTTCGTTCATTCGATTGAATAAAATAAGTTCTAACTGAGTCTGAACTGGAGCATCCCGCAAATTAAAATGAAAAGGCCACTCATTAATCAATAACCTTTTTCAGCTTTTAAATCTTCAAAATCTGCCAAATTCATCATGTTACTCTTTTCTTCCATTTCTTGTCAAGTTTTCTCCTCGTGATTCCAATGTCGGAGACTGGTGTATCTGTTTCTCATTTAAATTTTCTTTTCCTATTGGCCATCAGATGATTGACATGTACTCTGCTTCACTTTTAAAGCAAAACGTAACGCAGGACATGTTTTTTCTCCAAACTCCGTTTTCTAAGCAGTCTTTGTATCTCAACAATATTCTTATTTCATTGTTTCATTTATAAATTAAGCCAACTAAAAATGATATAACAGTATTCTGAGGTGGATGTTCATGCGTTCTAGCATTTCTAGTGTTGTCAAATAAAATAGGGTGGAAAATCGATCAAAATGTCATGGAACAAGATTTCGTAATATACCGGATTTTGCCAACCCCTGGTTTGGATTCAGTATGGCTTGAAAGTATTTGTTTTTCAGCTGGCAAATAGTACTTTTAGAATCGCGTTTGAATCCAAATGATGAGGCGTATTTAACTGTGAAATTCTATTGATTTCGTTAGAGAGCCTGTGATTCTGAGTAGCTCGCGTTCGTCTTTTCAGGCTACTCTCTCTCTTAAGCTTTTATTACGCTCGACCGTACTTTAGGTCCTTGATAGCTTCGCCGTTAATTAACGTTAAGGGGCCAAATCTGTTAGAATCTTGATAGCTTCGTCTATATCTTTTTAGTTAAGATTAGTTAGTTTTTAGACCTTAGTTTCTTAAGTTCAAGCCCGAGTGGAGGCTTTATTGTAACTTTATTGTAAGAAAATTGTAACTTTATTGTAAAGAAAGGAGTCGTCTGTTAAAAAGTTATTGGAATAATAAAGGGTAATTTCACCCTTCTTACGTTTTGTTCTCAGTCTCACGAACTCAAGCGATTATTTGCTTATCAGTTCTTAAGATTCCTCAACTTTACCTTAGATTAAAACACCTAGGAATCTTACAATTCTTCATTTAAAAATAAAGCTTATTCGTGTCTAAGATTACTGATAGCTTCAAGAAAGAAATTTACGATATAATAAAAAAGCGAAAACATAAAAAAAGTCCCTGTGCAAATAGCATACATTTTTACTAAAAACATATGTGTATGCAAACATGTTAAGTAGTTTATTTACGACATACACGATTATATATAATGTTGTAAGCGAAAAGGTACACCCAGTTGCTATATTATTTAATAAACTAACAATAATATTTATTTTACAGATGTGCCCATAATGAAGCGGTTATTACACAGGGTTTACTTAACGATAATCATAGGTAAGTAATTTATATATATTACATACGAATAATCAAAAGTCATCAAATTTAAACAGTATAATGATTCCAAAGGTTGAGGTTGAAATTCTTTAAATGCAATTAAAATATTGAAACATGAGCTATCTTAGTATTAGACAAGACTGAAATCTGGTCTAAATTATTGAAATATAAACAACAGTAAGAAATACCATACTGTTCAAGAGTGTATAAAAAAGAAAGGCTTAAAGTGTTTAGCTTCTTAATGTTCTAACGAAGTATGAGAGGTATGATTTATTGCATCTTAAATTGTCATTTACCAGAAGGGAAACATTTTCATTCGGCGTCTATTTCAAACCTTCTTAAGTTGTGGAGCACAGTGAGGTACATTTCATTAAAACTGTTCATTGAGCATAATTTGATTCTTTTTTCCCTAAACTCAGCATAAAACTTGTATTAAGAATGTTAGTATTGTTTTAATTTCCTAGAAACCCAGTTATCATTTTTCACAAAACTGTTAAGTATCATTAGAGATATCAATCTATTCTTAGTCCACTGAACATTTATAATTCTTGAGCGCTCTGAATGTATGTTTTAGCTTTTATTTACTATACTATCTTCCTTTAGGCAATGTAACTAAATTTCTCAACGAAACAAAGAAACAGTTCTAAATACTTTATTTTGCACCTTCAAGAAAGGATGGTTTACCGCTAGCGTGTGGAGCATCAATATGTGTACTCCTCCCCTCCCTTCACGATACTCTTTTACCTTGATGTGACAGTTGAGAACGCTTGCAGAAAATATCATGCATCAACCTGTCTTTTAATGTCTGAGAATGACAGTTCTTTGATTAAAATCGAACGATTATAGCCTCGCAAAATAATTCTTTTTAATGTGACCAAATAGTTTGCCAGTGGATTTCATAGAGTATTACTCATTTCAAATAAGTGGCTTTAAGCTATGAAGATAATATTCTGTTATACGGACTTGCTAAATAAGCTGAAAATTAAAAGATTTTGTATTATATAATTCATGTTTTATTGTTGATTTTGCTTTTAAATTCTATAACACATGGTACGAACCATTACAAATTATACCACTAAATTGTGATTCTTTATGTATTTATAACCTTTAGATTTCATTCTGGTCGTAGTTCTATGATTAATTTACAGCAGACTTAAAGTTATGGCTAATAAAGTAATTTTGTTATTAATTACTTAATGCATAAGAAGAATAAAAAAATATACTTTGGACTATTTAATGCTACTTTGAGAAGCGCATTATTTGGCAGGAGAGCGTTTAATGAATATTTGGGTATATCCATTATTTGTACTGCCTTCTTACAATAATTCGAAAGGCTAAAGCTACAAAACTCTGTAATTTACATATTGAATTTTATTTAAGTAATGTTGCATATTACATTATATGAACCAGTTTTTCTTAGAGCTCATTCACAATTTTAACCCTTATTGAAAGGATAATAATGCACGCTCCCCTAATTAGCATTAATTAGCTTTTTATTTGTATTCGTAAATAATTATAAATATACTATTTTTCAAAGCTTAGGAGCAAACTCTATTACTTTTATATTTAAGTTCTTATATTTTTTAACGAGATTGATTCTAAGAGTTAAATTTATTCAGCACACTGTAAATTGTTATGAAAGAATTACAAGTACTAAATTGTTGACTACTTATCTTCTTACTTTAGACCAACAGTTTAAATTTAAAATTTTATGCTTAAGATTCTCTTCTTACGTAAGACCAATAGTTTAAAATTTTATGCTTATTGTCATATAATTTTTAAATTATTACCTTATTTTGGCAATCCAACCTTAACATAATTTGATTCAAGGAACCTCCTCTGTAGCTGGTCCGCTGTACCTTTCAATAATTCTAGTTAATGCAGGACTACGTTCTTTCCATTCCATGCCCTGAAATGCAATAAAATGTAATTTATTTTGTCCTAATTTTGAGACACATAAATCAAAATTTCTAATTTAGATATAAATTATAAGTTCAGAAGTTTAACCAGTTTCATCTTAAATGCCTTAATCAATTTAATTGACGGTCAGCTGGGAAGAGCATGAAAAGAAGACATAATTCTTATCAAAGAATTAACAATATTGAAAATACAATGCATTTAACAACAATTTACAAATGTATAACACCGCTGAAATGTAATAAAGAAATTATTGCAGGCATGAAATTACGCTGGTTAACGAGCATGACATTAATATATTACAAGTCAATATTAGCGAGTACAGAGATCAGAAGAACTTTCTTTTGTTACCCTTTTACTTTATAAAAATCATTTCCTGGCATTCGATAATAATGATAAAATTCTGGAATAAGTCGATAGATATCTTATGTTACATATATTTATATTACATCCATTTATGTAGCATATATTAGCTGAGAATTCAAATATTGTAAGTGATCCTCTGTAACCTGCAACTGCAAAGTATATTTGTTCAGAATGAATCAGTTATTGGGAAATAAATCTCCTCTTAAAAGAAAACAAAGCAAATTTTCCAAATATTTGAAAAGTGTATAATCATAGAAATGTATTTAACCCTGAATATTCTATTATAAGACAATTAATAACAATGAAAACCAAAACAAAGTGTTCATTAGGAAAATATAGATAACATGATTATAAAGCGGAATAATGAAACTCACATATTTTCTATGCTGACATGACACATTCTATGAATATAATGATGTAAATAATAACTGGTCATCATTAGTCATGATAGTCTGAAGAAGAAATAATAATTTAATTATTCTTCTTAACATAATCGCTATATCGAGATAAGCAAAAAACAATCTCTTTAGTATTTTAATAAATCTTCACTAGAAAAAGAAATACAAATTATAAGTTACAAAAAACTTCATTGGAAAATAAGAAAGAGATCAGTTAATAACCAACGTTTTTGAAAGTAAACTTTTAAAAAGTAAACTTTCAAAAGAAGTTTTCTAGCTCCTACAAGTGACCGAGTGTTTAAGATCTCTGAATAATAGAAGGTTCGACACGTACAGAACCCCGATGAATAGGCTGGACGCACGAGAGTTTTTCAGAGTATCTTCACCCCCATATCAACCTGAATAAGAGCCAAAGTTCTTCGAAAATTCTTCACAAAGGCATCATTGCCTCACCAAAAAGTGAGGGTTAAGAACACTAAATATTTTTGGCTCGACCTGGGTTCGAGCCAATCGAACGAATGGGCTGCAATGTGGTTTTCTTCACATGTAATGGGAATGCGAGTCAGTTTTCCTTAGAAAACTGTCCACGAAAATATCCCTTCTCTTGTAGAGACATTAGGCCACTTCGAAGCAGGAAAGATGCAAAACGAGCAATGCCCTCGCCAGAGCTCGAACCATGGACCTCTCTAATACGCGTCGAGTGTGTTGATTACTACCCACTAAGGCATGCTAAGAAGCGGGGGAAATGCCTTACATACTCCCCCTTTTAAACGGCGACTGGGGTTTTAGGGGACCCAGTCGCCAAATCCTGGTGGGGAAGAATCATCATGCACCACCTTTTAGTTTGGGCGCCACTATAGAAATATTAGGTAAGTTTTTTTTAAAGCAGAAGAAATGTAAAATGAGAATGCCCTCGCCTGGAATCGAACCACGGTTTTCTCGAATATGCGCCGAGCGTGCTGATCACTACACCACGAAGGCATGCTAAGAAGGCGGGAGAAATACCTTATACTCTTAGAAAAGGTAAGCCTCACGCCCTCTGCCGTACTCAAATGATCTAACCTTTAAGTCTTTTGAAATAACAGAGATACGAGAAATTCCCTAGCATGAATGGCAAAATTAGGCAAAAAAATCTACCTCAGTATTGTGTTCATATTTAATAAAAAATATCTGATCATTTCAACAGATAAGCTGACTCGTGATTCTTTCATTCGAAGCAAGTACTATGCTAAATCTTACTAAACTGGTAGACAGTGTTCTGCAAAATACTTAATCTTGTTTACAATAGAACAGAAAATCGTTCCTTTTGAAATTCTGACTTTTCCGTTCAGATCACTACCAAACTATGCACGATATTTAAATAAATTCCATGACTTACTAGCTTTAGAAAGGTTAGTAATGGATTCAAAATTCTGATTTAAGAAATTATTCAAGTGAGAAAGAGCTTCTTATTTTGATGATTTTAGCCACTTGACATTTCTTTATAGGAATTAATAAAACTTAGAACATTTTATACTAGTTCCCGTTTCAATAAGTAAGTTATTCTTATGTAAAATAATTGCAACAGGTAGAATGTTTATTAACCTATAAGAAGTCGTTTACCGGAGGAAAATCAGTAGTTAATGCTCAAAACTATACCTGGAAAAAGTTGTCAAAATTGTATGGCTTAAACAGCTCTCATCCTTTAGAGATAATTTTGAGAACTTTACTTAGTTGCCGAATCAAAACTGAATTCCTGTTAATAAATATTTTCGAATTCTAACATGAATTCCAGTTTGGGTTTTATTTTAATTAGTCCAATTATCTTATTATTTCACCTGTACTATCACTTCTGCTTCTGTCCCCCCAATAGAATACTAATTAATGTCTCTAAGCGCAAAGTTCTTGAGTTTGAGAAAGAGACTTTGGCAGCAATGGCTAACCTGTTATTCAGTTACAACTCCCTCCCTTTGAGTCGCGTTATCGACTTTAGCTTTGCTAGCTGCCATTGCTTCGTAAAATATTGAGGGACGAGCTAAAACTTAGAAGGCGCGTGTTATTTTGTTTGTAATATTTGACGGTACATTTGTTCTATGTTTTCCCACAAACAGCAGTTTTTAAGTTTCTATTATAATATGTGTAACCATCAGACTAGCACATTAAAAAACAGATTTATTTGAAACTAAAGTATGCATTTACTGTATTTAGACAATACGACAGAACGATAATTATTTTCTCTAACTTTACGTTTCTATAAGCTGGAAGTTAAAAGAAGCGTAGAATTATACTTTTTTACAAACGAGAATTTGAAACACAACTTAATGGTTTTCGCACGAAAAGCATATTTGACAGTTCCAGATTCGAAGACCTATCATGAATGATTAAGCGGTTTTTACAGGAAGTCCTTAAAAGTTTAGTTAGTGATATTTAGGTCAATTTTGGTGATATGAGTATAACACTTTGTTTTATGATTTCTGCTATGAGAACTATTTCCCATCTACGGGTAAAAATTTGAGTTTCGCATATATTTGATAAAATTGTCACGTCGCCAAAGTTGTCATTACCTTAAGGCCTATTATTTGATTAATTTTTAAACAATAGGTCTGCAACCATCCATTTAATTCATATTTAGTAGTACATATTTTGAAACAAACTGCATGTTTAACTAAGATTATATCTATCGTGTTTACTCGAAAATAAACTCCCTCATTTTATTTTGCTAAACTTGTGTTTTAAAATGTTATAGGATTTTATAATTGCATATTCTGATAACTAAAATTTATAGAATCAGGTGAATTAGTATAATTATCATACTACAGAACAACTACACTATTTTAAAACTAAATAAGACACATAGGTAATTACCATACACACATGCATATATATATATATAGGGTCCGCCACTGAAGCGGGAAATTTTTAAGGTACTCAGTTTTTCATGAAATTTTATTATCTTAAAAAAACGCCGCTCAAGTGACAGCCATTTCTATGTAAACAATCATTTAATCTTAACCGAAAATCTTCCATCACTCGACGAAGCAGGTCAGGTTGAATCTGATCGATTTCTTGTCTGATATTTGTTTTTAATTCCGATACGCTTCGCAGTATATCAATGTACACTCTGATCTTCAGAAATCTCCCAAGAATTACGTCGCACGCAGACAAATCTGGGAATCTTGCAGATCACGAGATGTTTCCATGTTCTCACATGAGTCCTCATGGAAGACTTCTGGTAAACACAAAAACTGCCCAAAGCTTAAAATTCTCTTAAAACTGCGTAAAGCTGGCCTCATTTCGTCCCTCTATATAAAGTGCACTTCAAAGGGAAAACAATAAGCAAGCTAGACTTATGTTTTGAAAACGGGGAAGTTAATTTAATGGCACTTTCAGTGTATTTCCTTTTTCTATTTTAATGCATCAGATACTGAGCTTAGCTCGGAAAATTTAAATCCTAATTATTCTCCATATTTTTGCGCATCTACTTGAACTCAATACAATTGTATCCTATCCCACATCAATATATCATTTGATACAGCAATCATTGCAAGATGATATTTATCTGTCAGAAGCATCCAGTAAATTTTTCTCCTGCCAACAGTTCACTATACGAATAGACTAATTTGGAATTCAGAGAGACAGCGAGAGTCGCTTAAATATTACAAACCTCCCTCTAGCGCATGTGGGAAAGAGAGCGATCGTTAGTTATAGCAAGAGGAATCTACTGTTGTGAACGGGGACTCCATAAAAGATGTAAACCGCCATTTTCGCATTATCAGCACCTTGATAAAATCTTTCGACTTTCTACCTTGGGGATAGGGAAGCTGAATTTCTCAACTGGAGGTTTAAGTTTAAGCTTTAATTGATCAACTGAAGGTTTAAATTTAAAGTTTCGAGCATGAAACATATTGTATGCAATATTCATTGTGAAACGTGCATGGAGTTAAAAGAGCTGTGCACTGCAATTATATTAGATAAAAATTTAAGACAAATCGTTGCGCTACTTCTTAGAGAAATAATTGCTAGAAGTTTACACATTTGGCTGTATAAATGTAAAATGTCCGCACATTATAAGGGCATTTCAGTAAATATTAGCTAGGGGAACTATTTCTTGCGATGTTCCTAGTCTTCATTATATAAATCACAAATTAATACTTTATCTTTATTCTAAAAGTTATCGTATAAATTCAGAACTTAGTTTTATTTCTCTAAAAGAAATTTTCAATAGTAGTAATAAATTAGGCTAAAGAAG